AGTCTGACAAAAGCTGGTATACCGGGGCTTTGATGCCTCCGATGTTGTTGTCTGTGTGTCGCAAGCAAATAACATCACAAGACCTTCAGGCCATCTTGCTATGATGACTCCAACCACACTGATGTGGTAATCAATTGTAAAGGAGCCAAGCTGATTTGAGTCGCATCAAATCACATTGATTAGGGAATAATGGAAAAGAGCCACATCACCAATCTGTCAGTCTCCCACTTCGAACAAACACACTTATAACAAAGTTATCTAAAGTGTTTAGTTATTTCTTAATCAATGTTTCTGTTTTATTATTCCAGTTTTTCTTGTTTGGTCAAACACTGACAAACAAACAACAATCCTCTGCCCTCCCTCTGATACTTCCTTCTCATACCTCATTTGGAGATTCAACCACAGTCAGTCCATTGTGACCAGAAGTGGGGCTGACATCTCCTACACAGTCTATGCAGGGTGGGAGCAGCATGTGAAGCATGTCTCAGAGTCGGGCAGCCTCACATTACAGGACCTTACTGCAGATCATGAGGGGATATACACCTGTGAACTCAGTGATGCTGAGGAGACGAAAGTGTCTGAGAATAAAATAAGGATGATGCCGACAGACGGAGGTGAGGTACCATAAGTTTGATTTTCAAAAACTGTCTGCAAGTTAATTTAGTCAATTTAATGTAAAGCTGCATAAAACTGAAGAGTCTTTTTTTTTAAATATCAAAAAGCAACAAAGAAGAATGATGGGACTCAGAAGTCAACACATCTAGGAGCCATCGCTGCAGCGAGTCTTTGCTTTACAGCATTATTATGCCTGATAATGTACAGCTACTGTACAGCTACTGTACAAGTACAAAAAAAAGGTAAAATTCAATCATGGCTAAACTTTTTATTTTTAATTTTTAATGTTTGCACTGATGGATTCAGGCAGTTTATAGACCAAACCCTGAGTACAGAAAAGGCATTTCAATGAACTACTGCAATGTATGAATGACAGCATACGAACTAATACATTAGATCAAACTATTGTTGCCATAAAATTACAACATTTTGTTTTTGGGTTTGTTTTTGTTTGTTTTTTTTTACGAAAAGCCTAATTAACTGCTGTCCCATCAAACAGATAAAGTGTCAGGCTGAAGCTCCAGAAGATCAAAGGTATGACATTTTCAGTGACAGTAGAACAGGAAATCAAAATCAAGTCATTTCTGATTGATGTTATAGCTTAGTTTGGTCTGCAGATTGTTTTCAATAATAAACATGTTTTTGACACACATTTTAAGGTCAACATCTGACACCAACCAATCAGCTTCCAGCTAACGACATTTGTCAAGTAACAATTCCAATTAAGACAAATGGAAGCAAAAAGCTTCCCCAACCTCTGTTCTGGATCTCAGTGAATAAATGGTTCTCAGAAGCTTTTAATAAAACCCACAGCAAACCCAGTTTGGTTTCCAGCAACTAACAACAGACTGGTTCCAGTTTCTTTGTGACTTCAGGAAAGCAAAAACAGACCAGATGGAAATTAAAATAATTTTGGCTCCCATACAACAAAAAAACAATTTTTTTTACTAGCAGACTCCGGCTCATGACGTACAACATTTTTCTCTGTTCTCCTCCTGCCCTGATGCAGACAAAAACAACTTACTGTCAATTTTAAAATGTAACCTAAATATTCAGTGTCCATCCTTGCTGTTTCCTGGACTGAGAAGCTTGAATAATAAAGAAAAGGAAAAAAGAGGCAGCACTATTTTTCAAAGAGTAAATGAAAAACTCGAGTTTAGTTCCAAACTTGTAGTTATTTATT